AGAATTTATTTTTACTCTAAGTTACCAACTCAATAGAATAACAAAAACAAACAAACAAAAAAAATGTACAAAATAAAAGTATTAGCGTAAAAAGTTGTTTCATAATAGTTAAAAATAGTCAAATATATATTATTATAAATAAAAATAATAAATAAATAGATTAAAATTTAAAACTACAGTCATTGTAGGAATTGTAAAAGATATACCCTTTTATGAGCAATTTATAATATTACTGATTCAATATCACCACAATTATAAAATAAAAAGCTCTTATTGTAATGGTTATGAATAATCAAATCTTCGGTAAAACAATCGAAAACCTACAAAAGCCCATACGATTTTTTCTTGTTTGCGTAGCAATAAAATAAATAAATTACGAAGTAAGCACAAGCGAATGGTGTTTTTATCAAACGAATAGTGGATGACTAAAGGTCTTTTAAAATCATCAAAAAAAAAAAAAGTTTTACGAAAAATTTTTAAAAAACAAAAACTATAAAAACGAAACTAAATATAAAAAATACAAAAACTGTTTCAAAAAAATAAAAAAGCAATCTAAAAAAAACTTCTATTCTGGTCTACTTCAGAAATTATTTGGAAATGCTAAAAAAACTTGGACTCTAATAAAAGATATTACAGGGATAACATAAATTACATCTAGCAATCTTCCTAATCGACTAAAAACCGATAAAGGTGAAATTTTTAATAAAAAAACAATTGCTGAGAGACTGAATAATTTTTTTATCAATGTTAGGAAAAAATTTAGCCAAAGAAATCTCTCCAAGTTCAGTCTTTTTTGAAAAAATCAGATTTTATTATGGACAATTCGGAGCTTTCCTTTGAAGAACTTCGTTCAGCTTTTGACATGCTTCAGACAAATAAAAGTGCAGGTCTTGATGAAATTAATGCAAATGTTTTGAAAAGTATCTTTGACATTATCGAATTGCCTCTTTTCATTATTTTTAAATTTTCATTAAAAAACGGGGACTATCCTGATCATTAAAATCATTAAAACTTGCTAAAATAATTCCAACTTATAAAAACCGCAACGATTCTTTAAAATCAAACTACAGACCCATCTCAATTCTCTCATGTTTTTCAAAGGTTCTCGAACGTATTATGTATAATAGAATATATAACTTCATTGATAAAAACAATATTTTATATCCTAAACAGTTTGAATTTCGGAGAAATCATTGCACTGAGCATGCTGTGATGGATTTGGCTAGCAATATTTTGAAAGGATTTGATGACAATAATTATACACTTGGAGTTTTTGTTAGTTTATCGAAGGCATGTCGACCACGAAATCCTTCTCTATAAATAAAAAAATTATGGAATTCAAAATACTAATCTAAAATGGATCGATTCTTATTTACAAAATCGTAAACAATGTGTGACGTATGATTTAATTTGTACGCAGTTATTAGTTATTAGTTGTGGTGTCCCTCAGGGCTCAATACTTGGTCCTCTGATGTTTCTCTTATATATCAATGACATTCACTTATCCTCTAAATTCCTTAATTTTGTTCTTTTTGCTGATGATACTAATTTTTTTTTTTCGGGGTCTAATTTAAAATTTGTTTTTTCTACTGTAAACACAGAGCAAATTAATCTCAATGAATGATTTAAAGCCAATAAACTGTCCGTAAACATTGATAAAACTAAATATATTCTGTTCACGAAACCTTCGAAAACTGATAACATACCCCTAAAACTTCCTGATTTATTTATAAACAACATTAAAGTAAAAGCTCTTGTATCCTTTTCAAAACGAAGCACCTTTTGAATATATGTGCTTAAAAAGCTTGTATTTTTCATTTATCCATAATTACATTAGTTATTGTAATATAGTGTGGGCAAGTAATTAATCATCTTCTTTTAAAAAAATTAATACCAAACAAAAGCAAGCGAGTCGGTTAAATTTGAATGCAGGTAGATATGCGTGCGCCGAGCCTTTACTTAAAAAAATTAATGTTTTAAATATTTATAAACTAAACTATCAAAATCTGTTATTTATGTTTAAAATTCATAACAACATGCTTCCAACATATTTTCAACCTCATTTTACCTTAATTAATCTCAAATACTCTGCAAGACATTCCATTGGCAACTTTCTCATCCCTACAACATCCCTTAGAAAAACAGACTTCTTAATTACATGTCGAGATTTTCACGAACTTAAGAGCAGGGTGATAAGACGCATTGTCTTCTTGTTCCTGTCAGAATATAAAGATTTAATTTTTAATTTTTACAAAAAATATTGTAAAATGATTGTTGATTGACTATATATATATATATATATATATATATATATATATATATATATATATATATATATATATATATATATATATATATATATATATATATATATATATATATATATATATAAAATAAATAATAGAAAATAGTAGTTTGCTAAACTTCAGTTACAAAGTTTAACGAATATTCGCTATTCGACTTCGTTTTACTTAAATTCGCGAAGTTTGGCAAATCGCGACGTTAGAAATATCTTGTTCTATCTCCACATTTTTAGTTTAGAGAAAAAACGATTTAAAAAACAAAAACTTTAGGAGACAGCGTATAAAATTTCTTTCATAACTTATGTTTCTTCCGCAACATTTTTACTTATAACTTAGGTTTCAATTCTGTAAAAAGACATTATTTTGAGGAACACAACACTATCATTAACTCAACTTTTTCAGACAGTGGAGATAGAACAAGATAATTCTAACGTCGCGGAAATAACGTCAGTGCTTCTTACAGAGGCAATTGTAGACCCAGCGCGCATCTTGCCCAATATATATTATCTCTAGTTGCTGTACACAGCATTAAAACACGACTAAATCTGAAAAGACCAATTTATAAAAAACAGGCAAATCCTGACAACACTGGCATTACTGCAATGCAGTTACTTTTTAAATTTAGATAGCAGTTATCAAATTAGTATTCACGGGAGATAAGTTGTGATTGCGTTATTTTGATTGCTTTGAAAAACGAGATCGCTAGGAAAAACTACAATATTTTACTTTTATAAATTTGTTTTTAAAAATTTCAAATTATTGTAACATTGCATTATCTATCCACGATCTAAAATAAACAACATTTGCAAAGACGGTGTAAGTTTTGTCTGATCGGCAATCGCCAGATCCATGACTAACAGCTCCATAAACCTGCCATTTACCGCCACTGTTGCAAACTAATGGACCACCGCTATCGCCATGGCAACCAGAAATTTGAGTTGCTCCACCGTCACCAGCGCAAAGCATTCCTTTTGTTATAGAAACTGGTATTGTTCTTCTGTTCAAATTTTCACACGTTTGATGGTTAACAACATTCATTTTTGCTTGCTGTAAGACGTTTGTCATACTTCCAGGATGACTTATGTGGATTGTAACCTCTATGTTTTATGATTTTTAATGCTGGAATATCTTCTTCCGTTCCTTCATTAACACTCAAAGTGTGTTCTCCGGTCCTAAAATTCAATAGGAAAAGTAAAATTTTGTAGTTTAAATTGAAATTGAAAATTCAAAAATAAAACTTAAAATATTTTGTTTTACTAATTATATTCAAATAATTTTAAAATGCTAAAACATAAGATTTATGTTAAAGTTTCATAAACTTTTCAATTTTTTTATTTAAGTTTAAGTTAAAGAAAAAGTACATTCAACAAAAAGAACGGCGAAAGACGGCAAAGTGTATAAACTTAATGAAACTTGAAAACGTTTGTTTTATTGTTTATTGAAAAAATTCACTTTAAAAAATATGAATTTATTAATTGGAATAAAAACACATCAATAAGATTTACTAATACTTTAAAAGCTCAGCAAAACGTGCATACTCTAATAGATGTGCGTTTAACATTTTGTTGCTTATACATTGAGATTTTTTATGTAAGTCTGCTAACTATCAACCTTGATTACACTCTATATTTATTATTATTCTATCATTCATGATAGGGCCGTCTCATAGATACCAGAGACCCTGTGCCTGTTTGTAAAATAAGGCCACCTCAATTAACTTTTTCTTTTAAAAATAACAACACAAATATAAAAATCAGTTTCATTGAATGCATAAAATTAAATATTAACTTGAAAAGTGCAATTCTTGTAGCGTTTCAAGAAAAAAAAATCATCAAACAACTCTTTGAATCTAATTACTATTATTTATTTTAGTTCGAATCTAATTTAATATTATGTATTTTAGTTTTATAATTGGGTTGGCCCCGGGCCCCACACATCTATTGATAGAGCAATTGATAAAGGAACTATGCAGTGCGCACAAATCCCGTGTCGCAGCAGCGAGCTTGAGAAGTTGCAAAATTAATTTTTTTTTTTCTTTAGGGGCCTCTATCTAATTGTGTGCCCTGTTCGAAGAACCGGACCGCACACCCTGTGCGCCGGGCATGAGTAAGTAACAGCTTCTAGTGTTCTCCAATACTTAAGTTAACAACTAGATCAGTTTAATTACTACAATAAATTAACTGCGACTACAGCAACACAACGCTTCATTATATTTATTGTTAACTTATTAACGAAAATAAAAGAGAGATATCGAATATATGAGAGATAAGTAGAAGCGTTAAAAAAGAAACCAGAACTTCTCCTACCTTGTATATATTTGCGACGCTTCGAATTCTTTTCCGTGTATACAATGAGCAGCAGTGAGAACCCATTCTCTGTGAATGAGTGTTCCTCCACAAAATGCTTTTCCTCCCTGCCAAAGCAATACTTGCCAAGGCCACGAGCCTTTTGTTGGAGTTGTTCCTGCAATTACACGACTACTTTGAATTGATGGTTTTCCGCACCCTAAAAAAAACTCTTTAATTAAACATAGTGCACCAAACAAATTTATTCGCAAAATGAAGAACATTTATCAATTACTTTTATGTCAACTATAAAAACTAACGCTTCAACATATAACATGATTATAAAATTATAGGTAGTGTTTGTCTACATAAGTTGTCCGTTATCCGAGTAAAAATGAAAGCGTTTGTCCTT